CTGATGCCTAGAATTGCTTTTGCTAATCTAAGTCTCTTCTGATTTCAGATGAATTTTTTATTGCTTTTTGTAGTTCTGTGAAATATACTGTTGGGGTTTCAATAGGGATTGTGTTGGATCTGTATAGCAATTTTAGAAGTATGGCCATTTTCACTCTATTGATTCCTCCTACCTAGGAACAGTGGATGTCTCTCTTTTCTTATATCCTCTTCAGTCTCTTGTTTTAGAGTGTTGTAGTTCTCAATAGAGAGGTCTTTTATTTCCTTCATTAGATTGATTTCTAGATATTTCATTTTTTAGATGCTATCATGAAATGGATTTTTCCTTAATTTCACTCTCAGTGAGTTTGTTATTTGTGTACAAGAAGATTATTGATTTCTGAGTTTTTATCTTGTGTCCAGCTACTCTAATGAACCTGTCAATCAAGTCTGGAAGGCTTTTGGCAGAGTGTTTTTGGGTCTTCTATATAGAGTATCATATCATCACCAAATAATGACAGTTTCATTTCTTCCTTTCCTATCTTTATTGCTTTTATTTCTTTCTCTTGTCTAATTGCTGTGGATAATATTCTCAAAACTATATTGAGCAGGAGTGGTGATACTGGAAATCCTTGTCTTGTTCCTGATTTTAGCATGAAGATTTTCAGTTTTTGACCATTGACTATGATGTTGGCTGTTGGTTTTTTATAGATAGCCTTTATGAAGTTGACATAAAGACCATCTGTTCCAATTTTCTACAGGGAGATTGGCCTGTAGTTCTCTTTTTTAGTTGGGGTCTTTCACTGCTTAGAATCAAAGCAACACTTGCTTCCAGAAATGAATTTGGAAGTATTGCTTCTCTTTCAATTTCATTGCAAAGCTTAAAGAGTAGTGGCAATAGTTCTTCTCTAAATGTCTTTTATAATTCAGCAGTGAACTTTCAAGACCTCACCTTTTCTTTGTTGGTATATTTTTAATTACATTTTTAATTTCACTGGTTGTAATTGGTATGTTTCAAATTTTTGTATCTTCTTCATTCAACATTGATAATTCATATATATCTAGAAATATATCCACTTGTATTCTCCATTTTCTTAGAATACAGGTTAAAAAGTAAGTATTGATTATCCTTTGGATTTCTGCTGTATCTGTAGCGACTTCACCATTTTCATTCCTAATTGCATGAATTTGAGCCTTTTCTTTCCTTTTTATATAAGTTTAGCTGGGGGTTTATCTGTTTTATTTATTCTTTCAAAAAATAACTCTTTGATTCTTAGATATTTTGTATCATTCTCTTAGTCTCCATTGCACTGGTTTCTGTTTAGATCTGTATAATTTCCTCTCTTGTATGAGCTTTGAGTTTCTGTTGCTCTTCTTTTTTCTAGGAGGTTAAGATTAACTATTAGTTTGTTTATTTGAGCTTTCTCTGTTTTCCTAGTGTGGGCACTTACTGCTATGTATTTCCCATGTAAAACTGTTTTTATTGTATCCCATAGATTCTGGCATTGTCATTAATTGCACTGGCATTGTCATTAAATTGTAAAAACTGTCTAATTTCCTGTTTAATTTCTGCTGTGACCCATTGGTTGTTTAGAAGACTGTTATTCGATTTCCATGTGTTTATGAAGTTCTTACAGTTTCTTTTGCTAATGATCTCCGTTTTGATTGCACTATGGTCTGAAAATCTGCATGGGATAACTTGAATTCCTTTGCATTTACTTAACCCTGTTCTATGAGCTAGCATACGGTCTATTTTGGAAAATGACCTGTGTGCAGCTGAAAAGAATGTATATTCTTTTGGCGGTGGAACACTCTGTAGACATCTATTAAGTCCATTTGTTTAAAAGCTTGGTTCAATTCTAGTATTTCATTGTTGATTTTCGGTCCAGATGATTTGTGACAGTGGGGTATTGAGATCCCCCTCTGCAATTCTTTTAGTGCTTATTTGGTTTTTCACGTCCCTTAATATTTGTTTTCTATAGTTGGGGATATTGATGTTTGGTGCACATATATTTATGATTGTCATCTCTTCCTGTTGGATTGTTCCCTTTACAAGGATGTAGTGACATTCTTTGTCTCTCTTGATTAGTTTTCATTTGAAATTTACATTGTCTGCAAATAAGATAGTTACCCCTCCTTTTTTCTGGGTTCCGGTCTCAAGCAGAACTGTTTTCAGTCCTTTCACTTTCAGTCTATGAGTTTCTTTTTCAAGTATATGTGCTTTTTGAATACAGCATATTGTTGGATTTGGTTTCTTAATTCATTCTTCCAGTCTATTTATTGTGTTTGGTGAATTGAGGCTACTGACAATGGTAGTTATAATTGATATGTATTGACTTAACATTGTCATTTTATTTTCCTGTTGTTGGTTCTTTTTTTATTTTTCTCCCTCTCCCTTTAAATTTTTACCTATTGGATTTGCTCTGTTGGCCCTCATGGAGTTGTGACCTTCATTGTCTTTTTCTAGGATATTTTTAAAAAATTGTTTTGAGTGCTGGTTTGGTATTCATGAGGTTTCCTGGATATTCTTTGTCATGAAAGTATCTTATTTCTCCATCAATCTTAAAAGATAGTTTTGTAGGATAAATCAGCCTAGTTTGAAGGTTGTTGGTTTTTAAGCCTGAAATATCTCACTCTAGGCTCTTCTTGACTTGAGGGTTTGTTTTGAAAGGTCTATTCTGATTCTGATAGGCTTTCCTTTGCATGTAATTTGTTTCTTTTCTTTAACTGCCTGGTTTTCTATACTTCTGCTGAGTTTCTGGGATCTTCATTATTATTTGTCTAGGTATAGATTTTTTATCATAACTAGTTGGAGTCCTATATGCCTCACTTATCTGTGTGTCAAGTTCTTTTGCTCTGCTTGGGAAGTTTTCTATCATTAATTCTGTGAACAGTTTTTTATGTCATTTGTACTTTTCCTGCTTTTTCTTGGACTCCTATTAATCTTATATTATTCTTCTTGTGTCATGTAGCAGCTGATGGATTGATTTCTCATGCTCCCTTACTATTTTTAAGAGATCTTTCATTTTATGGCCACTGGCTGCCATCCTGTTTTCTATATTTGATGTTCTGTCTTCAGATTGGGTTAGTCTGCTATGTATACTTTTAATAGAGTTATTAGTCTCTGGGTATCAGTTTGAATCTGTTTCATGGATTCCATTTCTTTCTTATGTTGGGCCTTCATGGTTTCCATTTCTTTCCTATGCTGAGCACTCATGGCTTCCATCATGGTCCTGAACTCATCTATTTTTATTATCTCTTTGTGTTCTAGAGTTTATAATCATGTCTTTAATAATCTTTAATAATAATAATAATAATAATAATGTCTTTAATAATAATGATAACAATGTCTTTAATAATAATAATGTCTTTATAATCATGTGGAATTACTTTTGTTTTGAATAGTTCTAGAGCCTCATTCACCTGTTTTTTATTTTGTTTTGTTTTGTTTTGTTTACTTCCTGTCCTATCAGTTCAGATTGTCCAGGTGGTAGATTATCAGACTTTTCCATCTCATTTCCCCAAGAATTTGCCTTTGGTAAGCTGGAAGACTGTGTCTTGTTTAAATGTCTCTTCATTTCTATTATTGCTGTTGGTATAGTACTTAGTCTAATTCCTAGGTTGATACTTCAATATTACTTATTGTAGGTATTTTTGCTGTTTGTATTTAGAACCCATAAGAAATGATTGCTTCTCAGAGGAGTCTTCCAGATATACCTGGTCTTTAGGATTTGAGTCTCTTATAATTCTGGGCCAATCTCGTTTTCATTACACCAGGAAAGATAACTGATTAGATCATCACAACACTAGCCCAAGTAACACAATCAGCAGCAACAATAGAATAAAGCACAGCTTAGAAAATGACAATTGTGGTAGTTATTAATCTATCACCTCTAACCATGTGAAATAAAATGAAATCAAAGACTAGCCCAAAATATGTTTATAATGAATAAACTCATCAGTATAGTAACTTTATCCTTCTGGATGAGGACTTAGGAGTAAATCCCTCTTACTATTCTTTACTTCTGCTCTAGCTCAGGGCAATGGCCTTTAAGATCCCCAATTCCTCTGCATTGTAGGTGAGGGGGAAGGATAGCCAGGAAGACAGAAGTGGGGGGGGAGTTTGGTTGCTGGAAGTGCCTGTGCTCAGGTCCTTACCAAGCCATTGGTGTTGGGGAGCCTGGGTGGGGGAGAGGTTCACACCAATGGCTTCCTACAGCTCCAGACCTCACCCTTCTGCTGGTGTCAGGAAGGCTGGTCTGGTGTATAAAACTGGAATTTGCAGTTACCAGCAGATTGTCAGCAAAAAAAAAAACCAAACAAACAAAAAACAAATTACAGAGAAGTTTTAAAAATTCCTCATGTTCCACAGCAAATCAGCAATAAATCCAGGATTTCCAACCATCTCTGTTTGTTTCTTAGCTATGGAATTCCACCAAGTGACTCTGAGAGTGCCACCCTTATTTGACCTTTTCCCAGTGTCTTTTTTTTTTTTGGTACTGGGGATCGAACTTGGTTCCTTGCACTTGCAAGGCAGGCGGTAGAACCACTGAGCTAAATCCCCAGCCCTCCCAGTGTTTTAATAAGAGAGCACAGGTGGAGAATAATGACATGTTGCTGAGGCTCTGTTCTTTAACATAAGCAGTCTGGGTTAAGAAACTCAGTTATTTCTAGGATGGAGAAAGATTGTACAAACTTCTTTGTGCTCCACAAAGTTAAGAGAAGACAGAAAAACCATGAACAAAAGGGAAGCAGAGTAACAGATTTGGGGGCAGATTGTTTATGTTCATCCCAGCCTCAGTCTAAAGAAAGGAGAGGAAGGGAGAAAAAAAAAGAGAAGCTGATTTATTTATACATGGAACATTGTTGGTCTCCTCTGCTGTGGTTGGTGCCTGTCTCCTCTAAGACACATAGCAAGAGTTCTGCCTGCAAACTCTTTCTTCTCCACCTCTCCATGGTCACAACTCTAGAATACTTCAGTAGTTCCACATTCTGTCTCACACAAATGCCACGCTTCCCTCTCTTTCAGGGTCACCCAGGCCCATTCCCTGTCTCAGGCAATACAGTGTCAGCATTTCCACACTGATGCCCAAGAACACTGGTCTGTATTTGTGAGGCACTTTGAAATCTCCCGCCCTGTCTTCTTGTAGGATACCCTGTGTTATACATGCATCTGGGTGCTCTTACTTATTTGCCTACTTCTGTCTTGCTTTGTTTAGCCTCATATTTATTTTTATGGCATGTAAATGTGAAAATATCAGTTATCCTAATGTTTTAATGTAAATAAAAGACAAAGAAAAAATAATTTTAAACAAAACTGTATGAGTCCAGCTGGGCCACGTTAAGACAGCTGACTGAAATATGGAAAGTTTAGTCATCAGTCCCTTTTTAAGAGACACTGTGCCTTTCTTCTCTCTTGTCACAGATTCACCAGTTGTATGGTTTGGCAACAACCCAGCCTTGATTTCCATCTTGTTGATGTCTTGCATTATGGTATGCTCCAAATAACATCTAGAGGTGAGAAAAGAAGACGGAATCAGTAACTACTGAACCTCTATTTGATATCAGTCTCAGTTTGAAGTTTTACATGCGTACAATTTCATTTTGTTTCCCAAAACAGTCAATGAAAGAACATTAATTTAACATCTGTTTTGTGCTTACAACTATTTACAGCTCTGAATAGCTAACCAACTATAACATTTACAAATATACTATTGATAATATACTATAATTTTACACTGTGACGGTTTCTACATTTTATGAATGAAAAGTTCAGAGAACTTATGGAATTTCATCTACTGTCAGAATTAATTAAACATGGAGCTTGATTATCTCTGGAGTTTTGGATTACTTTCAGAATTTCAAAACCTATGCATTTTCTATTAGAAACATGAAGTCCTGTAAGGCCATGTTTTTAGGCCTACACAGAACTAAATTTGGAAAACATTTGTCTTTTGATTGTTTAAAAAAACATGTCCAATATATTGTAGATGGATAAAAGTACACACACTGCTCAGCACACAAAAATATAGAACTATTGAATGATCATACTTCAATGCATTAGTTATATAAGCATAATTTAGAAGGCTTCTGAGAGATTTGAAGATCTTGAGTTAATAATTTGGGACTTGAGGGAACTGGATTTGTAAGAGAGAAGGATTTAATTAACATACATCAAGATAGGATATCATTTACTTAAGTTTTTCTTACAGGCCACGAACATTAGATGTGTTAAACATTGCCCACTTAATATGTCCTTTAACATTCCCAATGACCTTGTGTGGCTAACATGCTAATATTGCCATCATATTCCTAAGCAAGAGGGTGGAGATGGTCAGTATCAAAGCTGTAATTTGAACCCTGGTCCTTTGTCTTTGAATCTGTGCTTTTACCATTGCAATGGAAAACACGTAGGGAACCAGTAGCTCTTCTAAGCAGGATCTCCTTAGAATAACTCTTTAATTGCTTCTTAGACCAGCACATGAGCAGGTAATTTTCATCACATTAAAGATTCATTATTCAGGATTCCTTTCCTTTATTTAATTAAGTCATTGCTCAATTAATGCTCATATTGTCCAGCATTGCTTAGTCTGTGTTTATGGGCCAGTCAGCCAGCAGAATAATTCTCCTCTGACAAGCTCCAATTGAACTTGTTTACTCGGATCATTAGGCACATTGGCGTGTACATTTGCAGCCATTTTCTGCCTCGTTGGCTCAAATCTACTTCATTCACAAATTAATAAGAACTTAGAGATGTCTAGGTTAATGCCTCTTTGCTTAGCCCCATCCACCCTCTTGGCAGCCGGTACTGAGGCTTTGTTGTTCAAAGAAAAAGACTAGAAACAAGCAAAACTGTGACCCATTTCAGCATCCGTTCATCTTTTTGGTCCAGGAAACTGACAAGCTGGAATGAGTGACAGATTTGTAAAATCCGATGTGCCTTAGACACTCTCTAGATTCCCTGTCAAGAACCCTTTACCCAAGGATGCCTCAGCCTACACATTTGACACATGGACCTGGATAATTGTGAGACATGTTTAAGCTCTAAGATGCTTAACAGCATCCATCCTTTCTGTAGCATACGTCTCAATCACCACTACCCTCTCTCTTGACAATCAAAAATGTCTCCAGACTTCACCCTGTGTCTTGGGGTAGCGAGACAGTTCCATTGGGAGCCACCTCCTTGTAGACCTATCTACTCTTTTGTGCTGGTCTGGACTCAGTTAGCGCTTGGGGCTGTTGCCCTGCACTCTGGAACTACAACAAGTAATGGGGGTATCATGGTCCTTCTACTGAAAAAGAAGCTAAGGCGTCAAAGGAGGAAAGGAATTGTTTAATTGTGGATATCAGATAACGATATGCTTGTGCCAAAACCCTGTATGTAGGCGAACAAGACACTTCTGAGGAAACCAGGATTATTTTTGTTTTATAAATCAAGGATTGGTTAAATTGTCTTCCTGAGAGTATGTTTGGGGAATCAGGTTTAATTTGATACAGATGTGCTTCACTATATTCTTTAAAAAGCACTAGAAAGATTTTTAAGGTAATTCCAAATTCCTCTTCTTTAAGAATATTTTAGTACTGTTTGGAGGAATTTTTTAGGATTTTTGGATGGATCAGATGGATCGGGGCACTGCATTATCTTTCCATGTTGAATGTCTAAAATTTCAGTTGCCAAGATATTTGCAGGCAGAGATTGGATGTAATAGCATAGCCCTTTTCGGAAAGCATCTATGATTCTTATATGGTCCAACTCTTGCAACATCCTCCATCTTCTGCAAATGTGCTAAGTTAATTACCCTTCAACCTTAATGTCAGTGAAAACATACGTGGAAGTTTCAAACAATGAGTCTCAATTTGGAGATTGGCTTTCTATGAAATCTGAGGCCCACACCCCTCTCCTTTTGGGTCTCAGTGGGCTTGTGATACCCAGATTCTGACAGTTGGCAGGGTGATTGCCTGTCCCTTTACTGTCTCTGAGACAAAGTCACAGTCTGAACAGTGTCAGCCCTGGTCCCCTGAGCTGCTTGTGTGTAGGTGCTTTCTCTGGAGGTGCTCAGTTTAGAATTCAGCGTCTTTGTCATGAGAAGACCAGAAACATTTCCTAGGAAACTAACTCTCTGGTGAAAGTTTCAGGCCTTTGAGAAAATTTCAAGCCATAGTGTTTTCCAAAGTGGGTCTTATTAGTCCCCAGAGAAACTTTTAAAGCGGTAGAACAAAATGAAAAAGTAACTCCTAGGAAATATAAATAAATTTGAAAAATGAGAATATAAAGATTGAGCAATGTTTTTAGACAGAACTCTAGGCAGAGAACCTTATAATTTTTCTACTTCAAGTTCCTGACCGAAAAGGGATACAGTCAGGATTTGAATTTTATATTTCAAATTATTCTCTTTAAAATAATAGCTCCTGTAAGTTAAATACAAACTGTGTGCAAATATACACACACAGGGAGAGTTAAATGTCTAGATGTTGTTAAAAATGTATTTTTTACCTAAATTATGCGTGTCATCAATTGAGTTTAAAGATCACACTCAATGATTTTTAGGTGGCCTCCCCAAATTAGTTTAAGCCTTTCAGAGAAAAAAATTAAAATTTCCCATAGAAGAAGGAATTCTGCTTCACAGCTTTGATCCAAACCTGTAGGACATGAGAGACCTTCCAGTTTTCCTTAGAAGCTTTAGTCCTTTCTGTCCTAGAATTTCCATACAATCCCCCTCTCTCTCAAATTTTAAAGTCCAAGTGATGTCGTTAACAAGTGGGGCCTCTGAGGGCCTCCAGTGCTGGAACGATAAACTGTCCTAAAGCACCTAGTCTGTGGTATTCTGCTGTGAAAGCCTGAGTGGGCTAATGGGATAGGGTTACAGGTTTTCCTCAGTCCAGTCATCAGTGGGTTCTCCCTCCCAACTTCACATACAATGAGATTCCTAGAGCATAATAAGGATCTTATTACTCTCATGGTCATACCCAATCTCACAAGGTCTCTGGAGGCTGTGAGCAAGCCACGCTGCTTCTGCCTCTGGAACTGCCTTGAAGGTCACGGAGGTGCTAGAGTGGGCTCTTCCTCCAGAGCCGCGCTCCACCGTGTCCCCTCTTCAGCTCTAGCAGACAAAGGTACTTCGGTTTCTTGACTTGATTTTCTCTAACACTTCATCTTACGTGTGATTCGCACAGTGCTTGTGATGCTACTCATGAATCTATTGGAACACAGAGCAGAAATAGTGTGTAAAAAATACACTCATGGTTGGATGAGTAAAATTAATCGTATCTATGGAATTGGAAACCCAAATGGTTCCTTTGTGACAGCTAAGAGAGTAAGAATTATATTTCCAATTTACATATATATGAATATCTATATCTATATCTATCTATCTATATATATGGAAACGCAATACTTGTGCAGTATCTTCTAGTTTCAATTAATTAGGGTCAAGTGCTAATAAGTAATACTGTCTCCGTTTTCTCCTTCATTGTTTTAACATTCCATTTAAAATGTATGCTAATATATCCTGAAGCTAGATGGCACAGTGCATAATTATTTGCAATTGAAATAATTTCATGGACACTTATTATGAGAAAAAGGAGATGAATGTCTTCAACTAACAATTTGTGTCTTAAAAACCTAAGTCTATATTCTTTTTGCTGCCCAACTAGTTCTTTTTTCTCCCTCTTCAGAAATTGCATTTTTCACTGTAATTGCAGTATGACTTCTTTATGTAAAAATAGGGAGATATGAAAGAAAAAAAATACAATTTTACATACTGTCCATATGTTTATTATTGAAAAATTGTCAAAACTAACATTTTGTTTTGGTTTACATCATTCTATCTTTTTATTTATACAAAATAAACTCTTCTATTTATGAGACTGGATTAAGCAGTAGTATTATGTTGTAAACTGGTTTCTGAGAAACGATATATTGTGTTTATCTTGTAATGACATCACATATTTTTCATGGAATAATTTTCAAAAGCTGTACGATGCTGTATATATATGAAACTGCTGTGATGTAAGTAATATCCCATGACTAAACATTAAATATCAGCTCATTTTTTAATTATTATAAGAAGAAAATTACAATTAGATCTGTGTAACCAATATCTCTGTATATCAAAACTCTTCTTTCCCCTTAGGATTGAGTCCTAGAAGAAAAATTGCTGAGTCACGAGGGTATGTAAATTCAACATACTGATAATGTATTGCTATATTTTTCTTCAGAGCTGCTGTCACAATTTTCATTCCTATTATCAAGGGAAAAGTCTATTTTCTGCACCATTGCCAGATTTAGCTCTTTAGCTATTTTTAAATATGATTGTTTAAATCTTTTTCTATTCTGCATATTTTTAATAAAAAATGCTACAACACAGAAAATATGAATCATAAGAAACACAACTCACTTTCCAGTAAATCTAGAAGAGAGGAACAATGGAAATAAGGGACTCGTAAAATTTCTAGGAAGAAAATAGCAACAGAAAGAAGCAAGAACTTGGCCAAGTTTTTTGAAAATATCCATGGCTATTATTTTCCTAGCCAATAGGATAATATGGCTGAATTAGGGAATTTTGTGTGAGTGAGTGCTTGCATTATTACTTTGGTCAACACAAATGACTTATTTTAGACAAGAACTAGGTTTACAATCACTAACTAGAGAAAATCTTATGGTATAAAGTAGAAGAAAAAATTCTCCAGTATGTTCAGGTTGGACCTTACAATGGTTAAGAGGATGGAATATGTAAAGAGAAAAAAAAAAAAAAAGAAGAAGTAAATTGAAAGGAGCAAATAGAAAATTTTTTTAAAAGTAGTGACAGAACTAATGATATGTGCACATAGGGTCAAAAGCAAGACCAAAGCAAGACCTAAGCAAGTGGACACTGAGAACCATCAAATCCTCGACCGCTGTTTGTGCATGCAGTGTTGTAAAACCCAAGACGGCCCCTGTGTTTGCTGTGAATCTGTGCTTTGCACAAGCTTGTGTTCGCTTTTCAATTCCAGGGGACAACGCTGACCCTGGCCACGTGGCGTGCTTCGGGTCTTGGCAACGATGCCCCTGCCGGGGAAGTGGGTTGGGACACTCGGGACTTCAAACTGTCTTCCTTTCCCTCTCAAGATGATTGTTGCATGTCAGTAAAGCCTAGCGTGAGAAATACAGAACAACCTACTGACCTCTCCCCTGCTCAGGGAGTAAGGGTTCTCTGCAGGATTCTTCTTCCTCTGGAGAGTTGCCCCAAGCTAAGGAAAACATCTACTCTTTCCTATCTGCTTATAGAAATGCTTGTCAGGGAAACAAAAACAAGGCATTGAATTATTTCCACAGGGGCTGGTAACAGTAGAGGGCAAGAGGGGAATATTGTGATTAGCTGAAAAGGCAGTTCTTCTCCTTTAGCAAGAACTAAATACAAAATACAAACTAATACGTGGTGTAGGACGCAGGAGAGGCCTGAGTAGGCGGTGTGGCTAACTACCCGCCATTTCTTTGGAGGTGTGTGGCCTTTCCTGGGACAAGAGTGGGCCAGGGGCCAGGGAGCTGGGCCCGTGGAAGGCGGGTCTGGCGGCTTCTCCTGCCTGTGCTTGCAGCAAGTCTCTGGGCCCTCTGGGATAGAACTCACCTGAGAGCCTTCTTCTGAAGCCCATGCTGGTTCCATATGAATTCATGCGTAGTGTTTTCCATGACGAGGTTAAGAGTGTATCTGTGTTTTCCTCTTCGGCCGCTGTACACATTTTTAGCCCTTTGTAAACACGTGAGCCAACATCCTGGAAGTTGAAGTTGTGCATCCATGTTCGCCCGTCTGAGAGTGCGTGTGTGTGTGTGTGTGCGTGTGCGCGTGTATAGTGTGGCTATGCTTGAATAGTCTTGCACTGACAGATACTTGACCTTTCTCATCCTCCCTAAGCTATATTCCTAGGGAACACTAATTAAGCAGAAGCCTGATCTTTAAAAACTAATCTGTTTTTCCTTTTGCAGTACCAGGAGTTGTTATGCATTTCTGTATGACCACATATTCACAGCTTTATTCCTCGGATTTTAGTGCTGAAGCCGGGCTGTCATTAACACTTGCTCTCTCTGCATCAGAGAGAGCATCACAGTTTGCATTTTAATTAAAGGACTATTGCAGCGGGTGGGGAGGAGGAAGTTAGGAAGATGAAGGGGTAACCCTCAGCCACAGACACGTCATGCTGTTTAGGTTACAGCTTAACCTATTGCTGTTGGCAACTTCCAGCGTCCAGAAAAAGCCACAAGAGGAAATAGATGTCGTCTTTTAAAAGAGGAAAGACATGATTTTTACATCAGTCACTTGGATGAGTGGTTCTCCCAGAGGGTGCAAGGAGGAGGCTCCTCTCTCAATAGTAGGAATGTCTGTGGATTTGAATAATGGATTAGGAAGTGCACAAACATCACGATTTTCAGATTTCTCCTGCTGAATCAGGACAAAGCATCAGGGAGAGAGCTATTCTTCACCTTGCAAACACTGCAACAGGGGCCCGAATAATGACACTGCATCCAGAGAGCCTCACCTGAAGGCAACAGATGAGACTGAGCCCCAGGACCAGAGGCAGTTAGCGTGGGAGGGTGGGCCTGGAGGTTGGAGCGCCTTCCTGTTTGCCATTTCATTCCACTGCGGGTGTGTGGAAGCAAGAACTGCGGACTCAGGCTGCTCTAAGGAGAGCAGCCTGCAAGGGGCAGCAAGGGTATGATTCCAATTTATTCTCTTTCCCTGGGTTGTGGGGGTCAAGGGCTTAGAGACCCCGTACTACAGCCAGGAATGGATCCCAGAGTGGATGGCACTTGAACAGAAGTCCTGAGTTTGTTTGACATCTGAATTAAAGCCTAAGAATTGTTTTGAATGATAATGACATCCTTCCAACTTGGAGAACTAGGACTTGCATTAAAACCCAATCCTATATCTTAGGAAGGGGAATTAAGATGTGCTATGCACATGCACCAACTCCCTGTGGTGAACTGATGGACGAAGTCATTAAGTACTGCAAATACGTACTAATAAGAATAAAGGAAGAGGAAAAAAGAACAGACTATGGAAACCAATAAAACAAATCCAGGCCGCCAACACTGTCAGTGAAAACCTTTTAAAAAGTCCTCTATATATTCTCACCCACGGGATTAGGGAAAGGCAGAGTGGGACACTGGCTTGCAGAGTAGAAGTAAGTGGTAGGTTGGGGCCACAGCCAGGTCATTTTTTTTGACAGTGAAACCTCCACACATTTGCAAGATGGAAGCAGACAGCTCCTTCAAAGCCCTAACCTGAGCAAGCAGCCATATGCAGGGTTTTGTAAACAGGACACTTCTGATCCCAGGAGCTAACAAAGTCAGTGCCAGAGCAATGAGTCACTCCAGCAACGCTGTGAGAGCCAAGGCCAAGGCTGGGCTGAGTCATCTCAGAATCAGAGCTAGATTTCTGTGTGCCTCCTCACCAGCTCCCCCAGATAGAACGGGGCAGGAGAAAGGGACCCCTCAGTGTGCCTCCCAGGAGCATCTGGCACTGTGGGCCAATGAGCAGGAGAATTGACAAGTTTCTGAAATTATGATCTTAACTGTAATTCTTCTCAGTGAATTAGCCACACGTGTCTCAAGAGCTCTCCAGGTTGGTGTCTAGACTGGGGAGAAACCAGGCCCACCAGGCTAGTTAGCACCACCTGACTCCTCCACGAGAGTGTGTAACTATCCACACGCCATCCAAGCCTCCACAAAAGTCAGCCTAACTGCATGGGACATCTTTCCCCTGCCTCCTGCAACAAACCTGCAGGGCCTTGAAGAGCCCTGTTTATTCTCCTTGGTGGTCATGTTTAATGGTGGGCCTGTTAATCAGCATGCATAAGGCAAGTCATTGATTAAAACAGAGCCGCTGTCCTCAGGGAATGAGGAATGTGTTTGGTACAATAAACTATTTAAACAGATAATCTTCAGAGAAAACCCAATGCTAAGAGAGTTTGTATCGATTCTGTAGGTATCCAGATAGGTGCATCAAAAAGAAAATTTTATCACATATAAACACACACATATATACAAATGTAAAAGATGTGTTTGTGCCGAAGCATATTTCCCAATGCAGATGGATGAGCCTGAAGTAGTGATGAGCAATATTTAGACGATTAATATTCAGAGAAGTAGAAAGGATGGAGGATTCATGCTGGATCCCAGGAGAGGCTGACATGGAAGAAAACATTGGCTTGACGCATAATTAGGACCATGCATGCTGCTTTGAAATGCTCCTGTCACCCCTAAAGTCCTCGGAAACTGTGACTAAGATACTCCAGGATGGCTACAGTAACGTGTGAGTAGAGGAGTCTGAATGTGCAAGCAAAACTTTTCTCATGTCTAAGTCCAAAGTGTTCTCACTGTATGGTTCCGGGTAAGGTACTTACCTTGAGCCTCCAATTTCCATTGTCTTAAAAAAAGTAAAAAAAGCAACAGACTTGGACGTGGTAGACATGGTGGACATGGTGAGGGAATTTCTATGGGTATAGAATTTAAATATAGAATGTCTAATTGTCTTCAACTTTTAGCAATAACTGTTTGCATATCTGTTTCCATTCTTTGGTTTCCCAAATTGAACATTATAGGTTCAACGTTTTCGTCCCTGACTTGCACTGTGAATAACATTCTGCCCATTCTTTTAAGGCCACGACACATAGTGTGATAGCTGCTGCTATTCTCCGATCAACTTGCTGTGAACTTTTATTTTTTCATAGAAATAAGAAACTGCTTTTTTATATTATCTTTAGTACTATATACCTGAATTATATTACAAAAATGAATTCATAAAATAAAAAACAAATGAAAACAAACCTGCTGACACCTTGAGTTTAAACTTTTGTTCCTAGATTGTGATGCAATAAATTTCTCTTTATGATTTTTCCTTTTTTTCACTATTTCATTAATTGAAGGAAAGCTGCCTTTGAATCACTAGCCTTAATCTTCATTTGTCTTTTACATTTTATTTTTAATTTAAGGGTGAAATAGTTAAACGATTGCTTGAACACTGTTATGGGTTAGATACAGATAATTCAAACTCCCATTCACTGAAGTGGGTGTCTTGGGAAGTGGTTGAGCTGTGTGGGCTCCACACTCACCAGCGTGTTAATCCATAGTGAGTCAGAGTGGGGTGTGTAAGGGGGAGACAGGCCCGGTGGAAAAGGTCATCACTGGGGTGTGGCCTGGAAGGTTTCATCTCCCTCCCTGCTCCTCTCTTCTCTCTCTACTTCCTGGCCTCCATGATGTGAGCAGATTTCCCCCACCGGACCCTTCCACCATTCCCTTCCTGTCATGAAGCCAGCTGACCATCCACTGAATCTCCTAATAACCTTTAAAAAAAGTCTTTAAATTGTGGATTTATGGTATTGTGTCTCAGCTGCAAGGAAACTGACTAAGAGAAACTCTATAGACCACACTGATGACACTGATCAAACCATTCCCTTAGTTAGAATAACAGCACCTGCCTGGTACATTTCCATGAACTCTTCGGGAATTGACCTGTAGAAGTCCCAACTCCAGACATTGTCAAAAGATGCAACAGAAACAGTTAAGGGTTGTAAAGGTGGGCTTCTAGGAATGCCAGTGATGACCATGATAACATCCAATCCTTACCTTTTTAACACTTTGGAAATATACAGAATAATTTACTTTTTGAAAGTAAAATAATTTTCAATTAATTCATTTGCATAAGGTACTCTGATGAGCATATAATCTTAAATAATACAGAATTCCTACCTTTAAGTGTTTCTCCAAATCAGATTCTGAAAAGCATATTTATATTCTTGGAAACATGATGTATAATTGATACATCAATCAAAACAATTATATTTTTGTGGATTGGGTATAACAGGTGAATTCTAATTTCTTTATAGCTTAGTTAGAATAACAGCTCCACGAGAGTAGTCAAATTATAGTATCGAATTGCCTTGATAGTTGAGTTAGAGATAAATAGAATTCCTTACAGTAAATATAATACATCCTAAAAAAGTACATGTAGTTTGTTATAGACAATATTAAATAACTACATGTAGCACCCATGACTAAAGTTATGAACTAAAATATTATTTCCATTTTCAATGGTACCTTGGTTCACATACTTAATTATTTCCATGATTCTGGTTGCAACCAAGTTGTGGAAAGAATTAAGTTGGTGAATTTAATGTATATTCTGAAGAATCTTTATTATCAATAACAAACTAAATTTTGGTTACCTAATATTAAGGGTATTTATCTTTATCATACTTCCAGAGAAGTAGGTATACAGACAAGTCTATAAATATATGAGCCTATATGAATCAGAAAATGCAAGAAATATCATCTTGTTTTTCCTTAGAGCAGATTTAATACCTCCAAGCTCTCACTAGAGAAGTGCAGAAACTTCTCTTTAGGAGCACCAGAGGTTAAGAATGTGATATTTACACGAATCTTGGTGTACTCTACATTTTTCACCTCCCATCATGTGTCTCTTTGTCTCTCTGCTTCCATTCTTTTTTTTCTAGAAAACTACAAGATCCTTCCATAGAAGACTGGATCACTCAAATGAGAACATTCAACACAATCTGAAAGGGGCTATTTTACATCTAAGAATGCTCTGCTGTCAGAAAGAACACCAGTGTATCTACTACCTGTATATTTTGTACCAAAGTAGTTGCTGAGTCACCAGGAACCCATGACACCATGTGTGCTGTAATAGACTGAGAAGTTATACAAAAGTCAGTGTACTTGTTCCATTTTAACAGGTATGGACTAGTTTAACTGAAATGGATTTGTATCAGCAAAATAGCCAATAAGTGTATAGAGGACAACTTTTAGTAAAATTAAGCCATATTCTTTTTTTTTCCAGCTTTCATCTTTAACTAGTATACATTTTTACTGCATGATACTTCCATTTCTTGTGGGGAACTGATGATGTACATAGCCCCTCTCCTCTCTTTCCTTCTTTCCTGTGATTGTACATCACTTAATGAACCATAATCATTAAAATATCCTAGACATTATTTTCTTCACTAAAGCCAGTTATTTATTTTTATCATCCAAAGTTTTAGCTTTGTTTTACTTTGTTAACATTTAGAGAAGAAACCAGATTTCAGAAAATAATCAAGTGAGTGTTAGTCTGTGGATTTCATCTTACATAACTCATATCAATAGTATTTTTGATACAAGTCTGTATGAAGAGAAAGTAGTCTTGGTTGGTTCTCAAAATTAACTGCTTTAGGAGTTTGTAGTCATAATGTGAAAGAAGAACTTTCAGGGGAAAAATGAGTGTGTGAGTGTGTGTGTGTGTGTGTGTGTGCACGCAGTGAGAGATAGAGAAATGCACTTATTGTTTCTGTGTTTCTTCTAATCCCCCCAAACTATCCTTAGTCACACAATAAATTCTGTGGTCACTTCACTAGTGAAGGACCAGAAAAATTTAGAAATTAATGTGAAAAATTGAACTCTGTGTGATTTTTGCTTTGATGTAAAAGAGAGTAAGAGTTTGTTGGTAGCTAACAAAACAATAAACTACAAGAGCTGCAGCCTTGAAAAATACCTCCTAAGTAGCAATTTCTCTATTCATGCCTTGACTTGCATAACAACTAGACACATATAGTTTGCTGAAAGCAAATAATGGTAGAAAGAGAATTATCTATGCCCACATCATTGGGACTGAAGTCTTGTGTGGATCGATTCTATAATTAAGCTTGTATAATTGGCGCTCCACAAGCAAAATAAAACAAAAGCAAAAGTGACACTGAATCTGAGAATTCTTTGCAATCACAACATGAGGATAAACAAACAAGGACATGATAAAGCTAAAGGAGTCAGAACCAGGGCTAGGTCTTAGCTCAGTGGTCAGGAGCTTCAGTAGCATGTGTGAAACACTGTGTTTCATGCCTACATGAATGGAATAATTACAATGATTGCTTGATTTAGATCCTAACGATGTAGAGTTCTATATCTCAGTGGTTAGAAACAGGAGGTCTCCAAAATTCCAAATCAGGGACAAGAAGGAAAATTGTGAGGCTTTTGAAAATTCCTCTTGCAGCACCTATAATATAAAGAAGATGGTTGTTGACATACATACACATCTGAGAAAGTCATCTCCAAGACTGTATTAGAGAATAAAGTGTGCAGAACCAGGGGTTATGCCAGTGCCTACTCTTCGTGTTGTCCTATCAATGTCTCAGCTTTTGTGGAAATATAGTCCAACAAGGGAAACACAGCCTGCTATGACAGGGAGGTAAGTATGGGAGCAGTGGAACAGAATCCATGGTAAAGTGGGAAGAGTAGTGTGTGGAGGAATGGAAGGCCTAGGTGCATGTGTGTTTCTTTTCCTACAAAGTACCCCTGATTGGACTAAAATGTCTCCATTTTTCTATCGCAGCTTTCTAATCCAAAACAAAAAGGTATTGGACTTAAGCATTCTTAGTTCCCTTTTAGCACAAATGTGTTCTTATTTTACAGTCTTAGTGAAGAAACTATAGATGTTAACTATGAAGAGTCCAAGAAAACTGGGAAGATTCATCTTTGCTCTAGGGCCAATTTTTAGATGAAGCAAAACCATTTCCTTTCACTACTCTTGCTGGCAAAAAAAGAAAGAAAATACAGCTCAAAACAAAGTATTCACCAAGGCAACCCAACGGTTTGCATAACCAAAAAGAGCAAAGGTAGACAAGAGAGGCTTCAGATTGGAAACTCAAATCTATAAAAAGAACAGCCTGGACTGTCAACTCTGACTTTCTCTATACTGTGTTTATTTTCAGGTTGCATATGGTGTTAACATGGCAAAAATTTTCAGGCATGAGTTATTCCAGATTCAGCTTTCCTAGAGTCTTCGTGGTGTCTATGTACAATCCGCAGAATTCACAGAAGTTGGAGTATTTTAGCTTTATGCTCTTGCCCTGTTTTCGCTCATTCATGGTTGAGAAAGGAATTGTCCTAGCTGAGGAGCCCCTCTGAATAGGTAAATGTTAATTTCTGTGGACATCACTGTTACTAATCTAGCAGGCATTAATTTTGCAAATGAATTTAATATTACAGTGGTCCATTAGGCCAACACTGACCATAAATAAAGTACTTTCCTGCTTTGTTTATCATTGTAGTATTTCTAACTCTTGCACCTGATATACATATTTTACATCTTTATTTGTTTATTATCTACCTATATGTCCTCAAGTAGAGCAAAAACTGTATAAGAGCAAAAATTTTACCCCCTGCCCTGGAAATTTATGACTCTTACAAGACGTTCAGTAATGAATAACCATGAGAAAAATATATATTATCACTCACAACTTAGAGAGGAGGGTCAGAAATTGAAGCACAACAACGTTAAATATGGTGTCCAGAGTCATATATCCATGGCAGATGATCTGCAACTTGGGGCAGGATGTCTAAGGAGAGAGCTCACACACTCCCCTGGAGCTTTTGGATTAGTTGCCAGTAGGTATTCACCTCTTGGCAACATTCTGGATAGTATCAATGACTTAGGGACTTTCATCTTCAGGTTTATATACTACAATAAGATAATGATATCAGTCTTGCTTATTTCCCAGGCACATTAAAATCATAAAGCTGTTTACAAATAAGAGCCATAATTGTATTATTGAAAAATTCAGGTATGGGGAGAAATCCTAGTGTAATTAATCACATTATTTTGATAAAGAAACAATGTAACTTTCCCAGAAATTCATTCAAATACGAGCTCCCTTTCAACATCCAACTTGGCAGTGCATATTTAAGCCAAGTCTATATCATTAACTTTCACTAGATGAGCCCAGACTCCCCCAGGTAAGTTTCTCCAACTTCTTCCATTCACAGAGGCCACAGCTGGGTAGAAATTAATCTCTAAAAATACTTTCACACAAACGGCCTGTTTTCTAGTCACTGTCTGCTTATGTTATGCTCATCCCATCTGTCAATACATTGAGTCACACATTCGACCTTTCAGCTTCACTTGCGCACATAAATTTCTTCCAATTTCCTGTGAAACAAACACTTTTAACTCTTTAGGGTTTTGTCATTTGTACACAGGTCATTCAGAGATGAGTCAAAGAACAAAGTAAACCCTTGCCAGTGTGACAAATGTGGTTTGAGCACTTTGTAACAGGAAAAGATTCTCTTCTACTCTTGGACTGATAAATTGATCTGTATATGGAGCAGGATATATATAT